TGGCAACTTCTGAGCAAGCTACAAGTTTCACACCACATACAACTCCTGAGCAAACTACTAATTTCACTTCACATACGACAGCTGACAATCCAACTACAAGTTTCACATCACATTTGATAATGCCCAAGCCAACTACAAGATTAACATCACATACAACAACTGACAATCCAACTACCACTTTTACATCACGTACGACAAATCTTGAGCTAACTAAAAGTTCCACATCACACGCAACAAATCACAATCCAACTACAAGTTCCACATCACATACGACAACCTTCGAGCCAACTACGAGTTTCACATCAAATACGACAACTCATAACAGAATTACAAGTTTCACATCACATACAACAAATCACAATACAAATACAAGTTTCAAGCCACATATGGCAATTTCCAAGCCAACTACCAGTTTCACGTCACATATGGCAACTTCTGAGCCAGCTACAAGTTTCACATCACTTACAACAACTCACAATCCAATTACAAGTTTCACATCACATATGACAGCCCCCAATAAAAATACCAGTTTCACATCACATACGACAACTCTCAAGCAAACTACAAGTTTAACATCACAAATGTCAACTCCTGAGTCATCTACCAGCTTCACATCACATACGACAACTTCAGAGCCAACTACAAGTTTAATATCACATATGACAACTCACAATCAAACTAGAAGTTTCACATCACAATTGATAACTCCCAAGCCAACTACAAGCTTAATATCACATACAATAACTCCCGAGACAACTACCAGTTTCACATCACATACAACAGCTCCCAATCCAAATACCAGTTTCACATCACATATGACAACTTCCAAACCAACTACAAGTTTTACATCACATACAACAAATCACAATCTAACTACAAGTTTCACATCACATACGACAGCTCCCAATCCAAATTTCAGTTTCACATCACATACGACAACTCTCAAGCAAACTACAAGTTTAACATCACATACAACAACTCATATTCCAACTACAACTTTCAAGTCACATATGACAACTCCCAAGCCGACTACTATTTTCACATCAAGTACGACAACTGACAATCGAACTACCAGTTTCACATCACATATGACAACTTCCAATCCAACTACAAATTTTACATCACATACAACAAATCACAATCCAACTACAAGTTTCACATCACATACGACAGCTCCCAATCCAAATACCAGTTTCACATCACATACGACAACTCTCAAGCAAACTACAAGTTTAACATCACAAATGTCAACTCCTGAGTCATCTACCAGCTTCACATCACATACGACAGCTTCAGAGCCAACTATAAGTTTAATATCACATACGACAACTCACAATCAAACTACAAGTCTCACATCACAATTGATAACTCCCAAGCCAACTACAAGCTTAACATCACATACAACAACTCCCGAGACAACTACCAGTTTCACATCACATACAACAGCTCCCAATCCAAATACCAGTTTCACATCACATACAACAACTCCTGAGCTAACTACTAGTTTAACATCACATACGTCAACTCCAGAGTCAACTACAATATTCACTTCACATACAACTTCAAAGACAACACCCAGTTTCACATCACACGCAACAATGCATAATCCAACTGCAAGTTTCAAGTCACATACGACAACTCCCGAGCCAACTACAACTTTCACATCACATACGACAACTCCCGAGCCAACTACTAGTTTCACATCACATACGACAACTGACAATCCAACTACAAGTTTCACATCACATACGACAGCTCCCAATCCAAATACCAGTTTCACATCACATACAACAACTCATATTCCAACTACAACTTTCAAGTCACATATGACAACTCCCGAGCCGACAACTATTTTCACATCAAGTACGACAACTGACAATCGAACTACCAGTTTCACATCACATATGACAACTTCCAATCCAACTACAAATTTTACATCACATACAACAAATCACAATCCAACTACAAGTTTCACATCACATACGACAGCTCCCAATCCAAATACCAGTTTCACATTCCACATTACATTTGATAACTCCCAAGCCAACTACAAGTTTAACATCATATATGACAACTTCCAGGCCCACTTTCAGTTTCCCATCACATAAAAAAACCCATAATCCAACTACAAGTTTCACATCACATACGACAACTCCCAAGCTAACTACTAGTTTCACATCACATACGACAACTGACAATCCAACTACAAGTTTCACATCACATACAACAACTCCAGAGCCAACTACAAGTTTCACATCACATAAGTCAACTGAGCCTACTACAAGTTTTACATCACATATGATAACTCACAATCAAACTACAAGTTCCACATTACATTTGATAACTCCCAAGCCAACTACAAGTTTAACATCATATATGACAACTTCCAGGCCCACTTTCAGTTTCCCATCACATAAAAAAACCCATAATCCAACTACAAGTTTCACATCACATCCGACAACTCCCAAGCTAACTACTA